CCCCCCCCCCCCCCCCCCCCGGAAGGAAGAAGATAGCCCACAAAGGCGCACATCTACTCTTATGCATAGAGTCATATCTTCTAAAGATACTCAAATCTTGGTGTATCATACTTTATTGAATTGCAAGAATGTTATCCATTTTTAAAGGGAAAAGTAAGTTATTATTTCTCAATGATGAGATGTTATTGAAAACTTTTAACACACTAGGGCAGGTATTTCATAATAAAATTATCCATTACAAAATATGTTGGGAGGCCGTACATGTTGAAAATTGAGATAATTGGGAGCTCGTACATGCTGAAAATTGAGATAATGCGGCCCCTTGTAGTTAAACTAATTACACAGGCAAAACAAATAGTTTGTAAACTAATTAATAAGCGTGACGAGTTTTACTACAAATTAGTCATCACAGAAATATTTATTGACCAATTATCTTTGATTTTGAAAACTAAAAGTAGAATTCTAACCGTCGTGCGTGATTACAATTATTTACCGTATAATTTGTTTATTGTATCAATATTTTTAGGTGCAATTGTGAGCATAAGTTCTTTTTCGATAGTCTTTTTATTCAACTTTAAATCTATTTGTTTAAGATTTGAGAGTATCACATTCAAACATAAATACTTTGGAATTATGGGCCGGTTGTGCATCGCACAACCAAGAAATTCCTAGTATATATATATATATATACAAGAAATATACACATGGCAATACTCATGTTTACGCAGGAATTAAACTACGCGAACAGTGAGAGGAGTTCAAATGTGAAGCATAAGCTCATCTAAGGACAGCTTACACGCAGCATGCAGCAACACCAAGTCACAAGCATTACAAAGCTTTCATCAAGTCACAAGGGCAAAAAGAAATAGTTCAAATATGAAGCATAAGCTCATCTAAGGACTGCTTACACACGTAAGTCCATCACAGGCAGCATGCAGCTACAACAAGCCACAAGCATTACAAGCTTTCATCAAGTCATAAGCGCAAAAAGAAACAGCAAGACCAGATCTTCTACTCCGGTGACAAAACAAAACAACAACAACAAAAAAAAGAATGTCCATCAGAAATGCCAATCTAACATTGTAAAACACATCACATGCAACTCACAAGCATATCAAGAAAGCCACAACAACCATAAGGAGTAACTGATTCTTCACTAACAAAATAGAAAATACTCATCTCAATCCGAATCCTCGTAAAATCCACCGTCATCATCTGGTTCATCAAAGGATCGAATGTCGAGCTGGTAACGGAGAATGCCCCCAATACCACCAAACCCTCGGCAGAACTGTGAGCCTTCTTGGGACCGATTTGTGACAAACTCGAGAGAACAGCCAAACTTTCTGTACTCGTTAGCAAACCACTCGAGTAAAGGCATTTTGTCCTGAACCTCCAACTCTGCACCTGTGTCCTGGTCCTTGTAGTTGCTCTGATCATTCTCCTGATCCTTGTTCAAGTACTTAATCACAATCTCACCATTTACGCTGTTCTTGAGCATGTAACGATTTATGTCCAGATTCTCCCACACAATCAGTGTCTCCACAGCTCCCATTTCCAAAGCCTTTATCGTGTCATCGACACCGAAAACGTATTTCCCAGTGTCTTGGCTGATTTCTTCGAAGAATTTACCTATTAAGCGCTTTTCTTGTATGAACTTCACGTTTGATAGGATCTCGGCCGATAGTTCAATGGCCTGATTAAAGCCGTTTTCCCCTCCATAGGACACATCTACCACATTAAGTATCTTCGCCTGAAGACGAGGATCAAACATATCAGATTGACTCAGTTCAGTCTTGAAATCAGCCGAGCCAGCGAGAATTAGACCAGACACGTTCGGCTGGCTTGTGGCAGGATTTATATAGAATTGGGTTGCCAGCTCAGCAGTCTTCCGCACATAGTTGTGCCGTTTTTCCATTCGGAGACGAGCGAACCGAAGGGCCGACTGTCCACCTCTTCCGTGTTTTTTCGGAAGATCGACTGTGAACTTGTGAAGCACTTCTCTAGTGTTGCCACTTAAAGTTCCAAAAAGTGTCCCGTTCCCGTCCATCACAATAAACCCAAACTTCTCGTCAGATTCCAAGAGTTGAGTCAAAGGTTCGGTGTGAAACTTGTTGTCACAAAGGTATAAAGATGCGTTTATGGGCTTAAACGGCATAAAGTCGAAGGTGACCTTTTTCTCTTTTCCATCTTCAGTGACTATAGTTCCAGTGTAGAGAACTAGCCCATTAGGGGGGACCTTGTTATACAATTTAAGCCTCTGCTGAGCAGAAGTGATTGCACCAAGCACAGATTGACGATTTACCCTGCTTTTAATATTTGATGCAGTCCCATATTCTTCTGCCAGCATCTTAGTCACACGGGCTATTTGATCACCAGGAGGGATTATAAGGGATATCATGCTTGTACCATTTCCTCTAGCAGCTTCCAAAGCCTTGATCAATTTCTTTATTTTCCATATTTCAATATTCTTGTCATTTTCCTGACTGTCCGCCATTTTGTTATTCGTACGGCACAAGGGTCAAGAACCTGACAAGAGCGCATTAGGATGACTTATAAACTAATAATTGCAAGAATTGAACCCAAATAGAAATTATAGCACAGATAGATTAATGTTAGAACAGGAAACAGATAAGATCAATTTCTGGCCATTAAAGATGATCTACCTACCATATATGCAAGTTTTATTAGTATACTATGTAACTACATAGTATTATTGCAAACTCAAAGATCCAACAGTCACAAGTTTATATTTTATTCAAAGAACACTAATAAAGTGGGGTTCTACCATACAAACAGCTTAGCATGGATGAAAGGTAAAAAAATGGCTAATTATTAACTAACATATTCAAGTGGAAATTCACCTGAAAGCACGTAACTAATCATGTAATAATAGAATAAACACAACCACAATGAAAAAATTACATTCCCAGAAAAATGCCCATGAATCAGCATGTTCTCTTGCAAACAATATAGCAGCTCGTGCATTTGACTTTTGGGACTTTTTGCAAACAATATAACAGCGTGTATATGTCGTAATCTAAGGCGAGATGTGTGCTACTTTATTGCTTATGTTGGTGGTATCCCAATTTTGACTGGGTCCTAAAGGTACTTGATGCAGCCTTCTTGTCTCTAAGAAGCAACATAATAGAATTTCACACATGCTCACGCATAAGCACACTTTGTTGAGTTTCAAGGACATTTCAAAATATTAAATAAACACAAACTTGCAAAATGAGTCATTTATGAGCTTTTACCTATCTTTGTCCGAATCATGTTTTTGCTACCATGCTCATCATCTCAAGTTTTATGATTACATAATTCTAGGATTATTCTATCTCTATTGATAGTTGAAGATCTAATGAAAGAGACTCGACCCAATAAATAAAAAATAAATAAACTACCATTCTCATTGAATATCTCAAACAGGATCATTATAAGACAGATTGAGAAGAACTTATGAAACCATAGAGTACAACCAATAAATAATACATAGAAAACTCCCCTTCTCATTAAAAACCTCAAACAGGTTCATTATCTATTATACCTTAACCTATAAGCTATATCAACCTGTTATGTCAGAACACAAGTCAGATCTAAAGCAGAATCATTTTCCAGAGCTGCATTAAGAAAATTACTCATTCGGTGTGTGCTAAAGAATTTAGGGCAATTTGCACCAGAAGGATTCATTATAACTTCCACAATGAATATTTTCTAAATGCTTATTTATCATTGTCAAAAAATACATACATCACTCAAGGTCAAAACATGAAATTCTTTACGGGGTCTCTGGAGCAAAAGAAATAGTTTTTCTCATGCTACAAGAAAAAGTATTCGGTAACAATGAAATTTCCTTCCTCTAGACTTCTGTAGCATATCAGCTTCTTTTTGAAATCTCTCTGTACGATGGAGACATAGGGTGTGTTTGTATATAAAATAACTCAATTCATACTCAATCCATGCTCAAAATCTAACTCAACTCTAATTCAACCTCACTATCTTCAATATTATCAATATAATTAAATTATTAAATAATATCAACCAATCATTCTTATACATCACAACCTCACTATCCTCAATATTATCAATATAATTAAATAATTTATTAATATCAACCAATCATTCTTATACATCACATTATCTTTAATTCACTATTCATCCACTCACATAATTTTAACTAACCATCACTTTACATCATCTCTCTCCTACTTTTACATCAAATTAATTTTAATTATATTATTTTAAAAATTATTTTATAGTAAACTCAAAATCTCACTAACAACTAATTATACCATTTTTTTTAAAAATAACCATGGTTAATTAAAAAAACTCGTTTTGAACGGATATATTTGTATACAAGCACGCCCTTAGTATTGCTCCTCTCCAGTAATAGATCCCACTTAAATACTTTTCTACCCAAGACTAGTTTCATTAAACAACTATATACATATACATTGTGCATCGCATACGAAAATGTGTAATCACTCTCCTATCCACTTCTAATCCTGGAGAAAAAAAAAAAGAAAAACAAAAAAGAAAAAAACTTTGCAAGAAAAACTCCCACATGGCATTATTTCTCAGCTTGAAATAAAGATAATTATCCATGGAAAATTCTAAATAATAAATATTTTCAACTTTGGAGCTCATCCGTAAAAGGGAAAAAATACGAAGCCTCTTGACTTACAAAATCAAGACTCAGTTAAACCATAACTAAACAAAGACTATGCTTGGGTTTCTAGTCACCAAACTACATTTTGCATTTTTCAAAAATTCCATCACTGAAAAATAATGAATAAGGAAATCTTGGAATTCAGTAGAAAGCATTACAAAAGGCAAAAATATAATTTGTTTTTTTTTTATTGGGTAACCTAAGATATATTTTTTTTAACTGGCATGACAAGGCAAAAGAGCAATATCCACATTGAAAATCATTAAGATTTTAACTAGTTTAACTAATAAATTTAATATGCAGATCGAAAAATGGCATATAGATTTAGAACTTCATATAAATTTGAAAAGAAGTTCAACAAAGTGTACAAGAGACTATCTTATGCAGACATACAACTGACCCAAGGAAAATTATGGAATAGGTGCAACACAAACACTTTCTGCCAAACTTGGGTGGAAAATCATGGGTAAATGCATGAAACCATCACAAGTTCTTCAATCAAGAGCAGTAATTGATAACCGTTACGAAAGCAAAAACAGGTTCATCATTACTCTTTTCATGGAGTAAATTTACAATGAAACACACCAAAAATTTCAACTTCAGAAATATTAAAGAATATTATATAAATTACTCTACTTGCAATGTGGAAGAAGAATTACTTAAAAGGGACTTTTGAATAGCTTAAAACAGAAAATTAGAGAGTTATACATGAGTTCACCATGCAAGTGTAAGTCCAATCAGATACCAGCAAAGTGAATTGGACCAAAACAGAATGATACCGTCACTGCTATTTTAGCCAGCAATCTTCCTAAAATATGAACGAACACAATTGCTGACCATAGTACAGAAAACACACTTCATTAGGTTTTTCACTGATTCCTGTCTTTCTGAATATTCTAAATCTTAAATGTGCAAAAAAGCTTACGCTCACAAAATAACTATTTCAATAAAAAAATAAATAATTAAACAACATAGAATCTTAGTTATATATACAGGTCAATTTAACATTGATTACTCCAACAATCTAATGAACAAGCAAGCTGAGTAACCACATAGATAAAACACCTCTATACACTTATCCAACTTTAGTTACCACAAGATAACCTCCTCAAGGTATTAGTTCATGAAATATTCATAGCAATAAAATCTTTTCCCAACTATTATTGCAGTTTTCAAAGTATACAAGTAAACCATCACCATCTTCCCTATGAGTTCATAAATGTCAATACAAGTGATTAAAACGGCATGCAGAGACACAAGGCGATAACCCCCCTATTTGCCAAGGCGTGTGGCAAGGCGCTTTGTATGACGCAAAACAATATGCAAAATAGAGATTCTATCCCCACAAAGAAAAATGAGTCCCAGATTAACTACCCAGTTAGTCCCAAATAATGAAGAAGCTATCCCAGTTTAAGTACCCAACAGCAGCAACACAATCTGAAAATTGTTCCTAATTTGACTCCAAGACCAGTCCCTTTAGACTAAGCATCACATGCAATGCCAGGAAAAGAACTACGGGGGCAGGAGAAAGAAAAGCACAAAAAAAAATCAGAAAACCAACAACGCTGGCAATATTGATAACCAGGCGAGTGGCCAGAGTCAGGAAAAATAAAAGACGAAAAGAAATAGAAGGTAACACTCAGAATTAGGTGGCCTCTTAGTCAGTTAAAGAAAAGGAACAAAGTAATTGAGGGTTTTATTGGAGAAAATAAGAGTAATTAAGAAATATTATTGAAAGCTGGCAACCTAATAGCTTAAGATCAGTGTTTTAAAACTCGCATCGCGCATCGTGTCGCGTTTTGGTCCTTATATAGCGTAGCGTAAATAGCGTAGCGCATTGCGTAAGCTATTCGAGCAGTTCACTTTTAATGCCAAAAATAATAATATGTATAACCATACAAGTAAATAAATAATTAAAATAGTCTTAAACCATAAACTTGGACATTAAATCTAAAAAACAACATTCAAATATTAGTTCATACAAACAACCCAAAGTTATAATCTTCAAAATAAAGACTCACAATTTAAAAATAATCGGTCTCATCCACTATAATCGTCAATACTATCAATAGCATATTTCCAACCGATATCTCTATTTGTCGTCATTTAAACTGAAAATGGAAAAAATATATTATTAACACAAAGTTTATTCATTTGTTCACAAATCACAGCATTGAATCAAACACATAAGGTTCTCCCCAATTCAAATGGTAATTTAGGTTACAATTAAACCCATTTTTCTTCTGTTTAGATAACACTATTTTCCATCTGTTTAGATAACAATTAAACCCATCCCACAGTATTAATCACAAGGCACTTATGTTTTAAAATTGCAAACTACCTCCAGGCTCCAGGCTCCAGGCTCCAGTCAAGACAACAATATCATTCTAGTTCACAATTCATCAGAATAAACTATTTGAATAAACACTGCTATCAAGTTAGTTCACAATTAAGCAATCAGCTTACAGAAAGCCAATCTTTAAAATAGCAACAATCAGTCAATCATTCATATCTAACTCTATTAATTTAATAAATAATCATGCCAATTAAACAAAAAATCTAAATCATCAACTGATTCAAAATCTACATAAATATAACTTATAATATTTAATTTTATTTACATCTGTGCAAATGCACAGAGTCGAATACTAGTTGAAGAAGAAAGAGCGATGGGGAAAAAGAAAAATAAAAGAAAAAGGAGAGAAAAAATAAGGGCTAACTTCCTAAAAAATCCCCAAGTCCTTTTTCAATTTCCCCCTCAGTCCTTAGACTTTTTTTTCTTCCTCCTAACTCCCTACTCCTATAATCATATTCCACTTAAATCCCCAATGTTAAATTAAATCAAAAAGAAAACAAGTTATGACATCATCTCCACTACAAGGTAATATTACATATTATTTTATTATACATTTTCCTTTTCTTATACCTACATTTTCTTTTTTTCTTTATTTTATTTTGTTGAAGCTTCTTCCCCACACATCTCTCCTCTCTCCCGTCCCCCTCCATTCCCGCCGGCGTTTTCTCTTCTCTCCCTGTTTTTTTTTGTAGGTCGGTCTCTCCGGCGACCCAAATCCGACGAGAAGAACTCCGGCAACAACAAATTCGGCCAAACATGTGATTCCGACGTCAAATTTGTACGGCCAAAAATTTATTTTTTCCGGCACATTCGTGCTTTTTCCGGCCAAAATTTGAAGTAGTAAGTAATATATGTATTATAAGAGCATTTTGGAGTCCAAAAATCATGTTTAATTCGTATATATTTGGTTAATTTGTTAAGGATTGAATTTTGAAAATTGTTGTTCATATTTACCCTAAAGCAGGTAATGAATGGAATCTTCTCTTTAATTTACATCTCAGAAGAAGCATATGCTACAGAGTACAAAATACAACGTCTAAATTAAACAATTCCACATCCACTGCTAACGTATAATTAATTCCCCAGATAATTCTGCTAAAACACAATGTAAATTGTACAAAATACAACTCCAGGTTTGTTAGTGTTATATAACAGATGGAGGCATAAGATAGTTTTATAACAGATGGAGGCATAAGCAATTCAACATATGAGTTCTTAGCACCTTTTTTTCTGACAAAAATCCAAGAAATTATCATTCTTTTTCTAATCCAAATACTACCTCTCAAATTGTTTATCTTTATCACAACTCATTCTCACAAGCTATTCATCAAACACCTTAGACTCGATTTTCTCCAATTGCCACGAATCGAACCGTATGCCATCGGGCCCGGTTCTCGAGCCGCTGGGCTCATCAGTGTGCAAAAATACTTGTTCAATCAGCTCAATCAAGTAAACCCATTACCAATCACAAGGGTCGCAATTCCAATTTCAGATCTTGATTTAGGCTTGGGCCTCAAGCATCCAGGCCCGACCAAGACCAACATGTACAGAGGGTGAGGCAGCGGCAGTGGGGAAAATGGGTACAAAACAGAGTCCGTGCGTGGCTAGGCACCTACGGCACGCCGGAAACCGCCGCGTATGCCTACGACCAGGCAACGTACAAGCTCCATGAGAGTACGCGCAGCTCAGCTTCCCGAACCGGCGAAACCCGACACTGCTGGGGATTGGGGGCCCAACTTGGTGGACTCGCTGAGGCGAACCGTGGACGCCAAGATCCAGGCCACATGGCAGAAGGTGAGGCGGGAGAAGAGGGCCCGGAGAACCGCGACGAAAAAATTGAAATGCGGCGATGTTATAATTTCCGGTGAAAGCGAGGGGAAGGGTGCGGAGGCGACGCCTTCACCTGCCGAAACGGAGAGGGGAAGATATGGGGTTTTCTGGGGCGGAGGAGAATGAATTGGGGCGGTGTTTTTTTCTTTTTCCTGACATTCATTTTTTGTGATTTATGAAAAATAAATGAATAATAATGATATTAGTATATATATGGGGAGTTGAGAGGAAAGAGAAATATGCATTATGGAGTGCAGAGGAAAAAGAAAGACAGTGGGGACTGACAAGGAAACTCAAATGTCCATTAGGGATTTTAGAGGAATTACTCGTTCTTTTAAAACCTAAAATTGGGGTAAGTGGTGAATAGCGTACGAAATATACGCTATTGCGCATAATTAATCCGGGAAATAGCATGCCACATCATCAAAAGCGTACGATTTTCTGGAAACTGTGCGATTTTTGGTAACGCTGGCAATATTGATAACCAAGCGAGTGGCCAGAGTCATGAAAAAAAAAGACGAAAAGAAATAGAAGGTAACACTCAGAATTAGGTGGCCTCTTAGTCAGTTAAAGAAAAGGAACAAAGTAAATGAGAGTTTTATTGGAGAAAATAAGAGTAATTAAGAAATATTAGTGAAAGTTGGCACTCTAATAGCTTAAGATGCACATGGGCGCCTGAGGCCTACTTAGTGCCCATCTCGCTGAAGCATCGTCACAAGTGCCGTGGCAGCACCTTAATACAGATATTTGATTCACCCAGGCCTTAGTGGCATAGCCTTCTTAACCATTTGTTAAGAGGAGACTTCAACTCTTTCTGAACAATCTCTAAGGGAAGTGAAAAAAATGCAGAAAATATGTATATATGTATATACTAGTTGGCTAAGAGTTAACCAAGTTACTAATTCCAACTAAGCAACATAATTGCCCAATAAATGGAACCAATGATTCAATATCAAGTATAACAAAGCCAAAGAAAGACAGTTCTCTTCCTTTGCCACCAAAAATAAGGTCAACAAAGCAAGAGACATGCATGAAATGATACATTTATGATGTTAAAGGAATTGGGAAAGATGCTTCAAATATCTGTTTATCAGACAACCGAGGCAAGACAGAATTTTTATTAAGCTTCTTTTATGGATACATAGACATGTTTGTGAGGTAAATATTCTCATAATTATATATACACAAGAGTACCTATAAACTTGCTTAACATAATATGTGTGTACCCAAGTGTTGATAAACGGATTTGATCAACGAAAATGAACACCCCTATTTCGTGAATAATCGGTGTTTGATCGATTGTGTATAATGAAGATGGAAAAATCAAGAACATTTTTGTTTTATTGTTGTTGAAAGAGATGAATGAATAGTGAATGAATCATGACCTCCTTCCTTCTCTCCCCTTTCCCTATACATATACATCCCCCTTTTCCTACAAGTGGGCTTACAAGTGGGCCAAGTGGGCCTATTAAAAAATAAGTAAATAGGGAACATTAATATTTAATGTGAGATGACACCGTGGGGCCCGATCATGACACTTGACGACTTCGATTGATGTATACTTTATCGGCAATTATTGTGTCGGTTGGAAACGGACCTTCTCGATATTCGGGTCAGCGGATGATATTAATTCTGCTCGGCTCGAACGTGGATCATCTGGGTACTTGGGAACTCGATCGATATTTAAATAATCGGCATACTGAACCTGCTATATTTATATATATTTAATACATATATCTACGTGTAATATTTTAATAGGCGAGGCCAAAAGTTGATGTCAACATAGAGGCCCCTGACTTTAGGACACGTTCTAAATAGAACTGTTCTGAAGTCATACGTAAAATGAATTTGGGCTGCGATAAATGACGCATTGATGTTGGCCGGGTACTTTGGGACCGTGGATGTTTTGTTGATCATTTTCAGGCTTTGGCCTGACGTTTGGCATGTTATTCGCGCTTTATGCTCTTTGATGAGCTAAGTCGATGAAATGGACAATTTTGTGGAATTAATATGGAATGGGGGCCTGAGAGGCCTAATCGGGTAATTTGGTACCCAGTATTTGATATAATGCTCGTTGAGAGAGTCAAATTTCGGATAAGAGCCGCAACGGTTTTGTTGATCGATACGTAGGGCACTCGGGCCTTTGCGAGTGTTTTTCGTGATTAATGCAATGATTTTGCAACGACTCTTTTTTTATGCATTTTTTATGGTTGGCTCTATTTGGCCTTTTTAGTTTTAGGGCATTTCGGCCGACCAAAACCATTATGGAGGTTTGGTTAATTTTAATTTACTTTAATTTTTAATTGGTTTTTTGATTTGACTTAAGGCACTGAGGGCCAATTTTCATAACGCCAGTTTAGAAACCGACTTGGGGCACTTTGGGCCCCTTTTTTCAGAATGCCAGTTTTGAAAACCGACTTGGGGCACTTTGGGCCCCTTTTTTTCAGAACGCCAGTTTAGAAAACCGACTTGGGGCACTTTGGGCCCTTTTTTCAGAACGCCAGTTTAGAAAATCGACTTGGGGCACTTTGGGCCCCTTTTTTCAGAACTCCAGCTCAGCCGAAGTTGAAGTTCTACGGCGAGGAAATATAGACGTTGCTCAGCCGGAGTCGAAGCTCTACGGCGAGAAAATATAGACTCCGCTCAGCCGGAGTCGAAGCTCTACGGCGATAAAATATAGACGTCGCTCAGCCGGAGTCGAAGCTCTACGGCGAGAAAATATAGACGTCATTCAGCCGGAGTCGAAGCTCAACAGCGAGAAAATATAGACGTTGCTCAGCCGGAGTCGAAGCTCTACGACGAGAAAATATAGACGTCGCTCAGCCGGAGTCGAAGCTCTATGGCGAGAAAATATAGACGCCGCTCAGCCGGAATCAAAGCTCGACGGCGAGAAGATATAGACGTCGCTCAGCCGGAGTCGAAGTTCGCCGACGAGCAATAATGGGACGTCGGCTCAGCCGGAGTTGTGGCTCACGGCGAGCAATAATGGGACGTCGGCTCAGCCGGAGTCGTGGCTCACGGCGAGCAAAATATATCGACGTCACAAATAGATAAGGGACTTCGATGCTGGCGTAGACAAATAAGTGAAGTCGCGAGTAGTCAAAGGATAAATTAGCAACGTCAGCTTGACGTCTGACGTCGACATCGAGCAAACCTTCAGGCTTTAGTTGCAACTGAGGTGTTGGTCAAAGATGGCGAGGTCAGCCAAAAAGATTGGTCGAATATGGTCGTCTCGCCAACATGCCGCATAAATATGCTGTATGAGAAAAATATTTAAGCCCTCGTCGACTTATGTGCTGGCTCCTTTGAGTTGTAATATTTCATCCCACTCTTCTCATTTTGCTTTGGCCCATTTGAATATAATTTTTTGGCCCAATAGTCTCAGCCCACTTTATTCATCCGCCTTCCATTCTTAAGATTAGTTGGCCTTGGTCGTGAGTCCGCGGCTAACTAAATCAAAAGTCGGCCGTGTTTATAATTGGACTCAATGGGGATAATCGGAAGTTGGGACCCGATGATGAAGTTGGTTCGGCTCCAGATGAAGTTGGCAGTAAAGTTATCGACCTCAAATGGCTTTTGAAGTCGGTGATAAAAGTGTGATCGAGACCCATCGATTGAAGTCGGGAATGGAAGATGACGGGATGTCTTAGTCCACGGCAAGTCTCGCGAGGTCGGTCCGACAACATGCCCAAATTGGAGATGGCGATGTAGCCTCCGACTTAATGAAATCAATGTGAAGTCGGTTATCCAATCCCGAATTGAGGTCGGACATCCGGTAGTGAAGTCGGTGGGAAGGAGACAAGCCCGAGATTAAGGAGGTCGTGCCCGATTTAAAGTCGGTGATTTAGCGTTGTCGGTTCAGGTTTCCGTGATTTAGGAGATCCGAGTTTATGTGAGTCGTTGATTGATGTCGGTTGGTGCCGATGATTGAGGTCGGACGTCGGAGCGAAAGGAGCGAGGTCGGATCTGCTGTTTCATTTCAGCTCGACAATGATGACATCGGGAAAGGTAAGATTGAGACCTGTCGACTGAGGTCCGAGGTCGAAGCACTTGGTGTTCGAGGTCGGAATGTGGTTGTGGAGCTCGTCGGCGGACGTTGAGGTCGGGCCCTGACTGCCGTAAATTCGGGGTTCGAGCTCGTGGTAGGCTGTGAAGGGCTCGTTCACGGCCGAGGTCGAGTTTCGAGGTTTAGGCAGAACGAGATCAACAACGATGACCGTGAGGTCGGGGACCCGACTGTGAAGTCGGTGGTGGCCGGCGGGCAAGGGTGAGAGGTCAGTTATTGAAGATCCTAGTGGTTGCAGTTTGAAGATCGGAGAAGAAGAAATCGATTCCACCGACAAATCAGAAATACGGTGGTAAATCGGAGGCCAGTTCATCCAGCCCAAGTGGTGTGCCGGAAAATCGAACTTCGGCGGCTGCTTCAAAATCTTTTGACCGTGGTCACCCCAGTGGTATGTCGGGAATTCGGCCCTCGGCGGCTGCGATGAAATCAGTCTGTTTTGAGGACGGTGGTCATGATTTCGGACCTCAGCGGTCGGGTGTGAGAGGTCATCCACGGTGAGATCAGGCTGGGTGTGGTGATTCGGGGATCCGATCCAGGTGAGAGAGAGGTCGGCGGTTGAAGTCAATTGTGAATGTGCTGGCCCGGGCTACTATTCAGATGCTCGGGCTACGATTTTGGAGTGAGTTGGCCGTGGTAAAGTCGGCCAGGCTGTGGTCGGTAGTCGGTTACAGTTACCCGGCCGTCAAAAATGTCGGTGATGACGACGTCGGCCCGAGCTACGGTATAGAGGCCCGAGCTGTGATTTGGATGTCAGATACGGCATGGTCGGGCCCCAATTTAAATTTTGGAGGTCTGACGATGGAGATGTCAGCCGACTTGACTTGGAGTTTGGATTCGAGGTCTGACAACTGTGAGATCAGGTCCGGGGGCGATTACGTGGGAGGATATCGTCCCTGAGTTGCTATGTGTAGGCTCGGACTGTAACTCGGGTACGTTGGCGGTGAAGATGTCATCGCGATTTTGAAGGCCCGGGCTGTGATTTAAAAGCTCTGGCTATGATTTCGATGGCCGACCATGGTGAGATTGGTTATGCTTATGCAGTTTGGCGGCTGACACTTGCTCGAAGGCAACATCGATGGTCCACGTGTCCCATGTTTAACTAATTTTAATGGCTGGGAGACAGCTTTGCTGGTGTTCCCTCGTTGACCCCGTCATCTTTCTCTTGTCTTTATCTAATGAAAAATCCCTTCAAATTTTCCGTGAATTGTCCGACGTTTTGGCAGAGAGATTAATCGGATCTGAAGGTTGCGCTCCCAAACGGAGAGGAGGTCTTCTTTCTCGTCAAAATTTGGGACCGAGTCGGCCATGGGATACAAAGGTCGGCCGGTGGTTGTATGGTTGGAAAGGTGAGGAGTTCGGCCCGGCTCTGAGGACGTGCTCAGTGTTAAAGAGGTCGGCCCGACCTCGAGGTCGGGCTCGTTGTTGCAGACCTCAGCCCGACTTTGAGGTGGAGTCGGTTTGGTTGTGTAGCTTGGTGGCTGTTTGACGTCGGGGAGGCCGAAGTCGGTCTATTGTGAGGATGTTGAAGTACCGACAACGTGAGGTCGGTTGTGAGGCCCTGGTTTCTAACGTCGGAGTGCTGAGGTCGGGAATCAGACTATGAAGTCGGTGGGGCCGTCGAGCAAGGACAAGACGTTGGTGCGACTGCAATTTTACAGTTTCGACCTCGGCGACGGAATTGTTTGGTCTGAAATCCAAGGTCGGTTGTTCTGAGGTTTGCCCCGTCGGTTTGTGGTAACGTTGGCCGGTGATGTGTCTAGCCGAAGTAGGCCTCGATTTTCATTTTTGGGGTTGATTGTGGTGAGATCGACCACCGATGGGCTGAAGTTGGTGATGAAAGTGTGGTCGAGACCCGTCGACTGAGGTCGGAAGTCGGAGGTCGGCCCAACGGTGAATAATTTTGGCTTCAGCGACCGACGTCGGGTTTCGAGGTCGGCGGTCAGCGTGGTAGGGGCCCGATGACTGAATCGGCGATACCAAGGTCGGTTTGGAAAGGGAGAGGTGGTGCGACGTGGGAGATTGGCTCCAAGACGGTACAAACTAATGTCTCCGATTTTGAAGGTCGGATCTCTGTGACTGGGAAGCTCGGGCAGAGCGAGGTCGGTTCCGGCGAGTGCTCCGATTTTAAGGCAGTAGAGAACTCGCCCTTTTTTTGTTTTTTGTTTTTTTTTTTTTNAGACTTCAGTGAGAGATCGCTTTTCACGAAAAAATTGACGAAGTGATAAGAAGAGAATAAGGCGGTAAAGGGTGGCGTGGCCCCATGTTTTGTTTATTCACCAGAAAGTAATATTCTTCTTTTGAGTTTTCAATTTCCAGCTCACAAAGGTAATACATGATGATGAGCAAAACTCAGAAAATGGAAAAATGAAAGCAATAGTGTGAATAAATTTGTCATACTTGAGGAAGATGATTTCTTGGCAGAGGTGCGACTGTGTTTCGTTGAAGATTAACCCTGAGCAAATTACGGGGCCCTTCCTCTAGCGCCAAAATGTTGATAAACGGATTTGATCAACGAAAATGAACACCCCTATTTTGTGAATAATCGGTGTTTGATCGATTGTGTATAGTGAAGATGGAAAAATCAAGAACATTTTTGTATTATTGTTGTTGAAAGAGATGAATGAATAGTGAATGAATCATGACCTCCTTCCTTCTCTCCCCTTTCCCTATACATATACATCCCCCTTTTCCTACAAGTGGGCTTACAAGTGGGCCATGTGGGCCTATTAAAAAATAGGTAAATAGGGAACATTAATATTTAATGTGAGATGACACCATGGGGCCCGATCATGACACTTGACGACTTTGATTGATGTATACTTTATCGGCAATTATTGTGTCGGTTGGAAACGGACCTTCTCGATATTCGGGTTAGCGGATGATATTAATTCTGCTCGGCTCGAACGTGGATCATCTGGGTACTTGGGAACTCGATCGATATTTAAATATTCGGCGTACTGAACCTGCTATATTTATATATATTTAATACATATATCTACGTGTAATATTTTAATAGGCGAGGCCAAATTTGATGTCAACACCAAGAATATATGTACGAGGGTAGACCATATGAACACACAAATGTTAACTTCAAATTTCACAAACAATTAACAACAATAATTCCAGAAAGAGAAATACGAAGAAACAAATGGGTCTACATATGAGCATCTCTCTTTCCGTTGACTCTACCCAAACAAAAAGAAAACAGATGAGAATCAGCAGCAACGGTTAATCTATCAACAAGACCTATGGAAAAACCCTTCATTTTGTCAAGATCTAAAAATCAACAATTTAAGAAAGTCATTTACTGGGATCTCGTAACAAAACACGTACATAGATGAAGGGTAAGCCAAAAAAACATTCTGCAAACAGAACAAACATCTCGTATTGAAGGAGATTCAGACTAATCTGGGTTGAATATACGCACCTTATTCAAACTAAATACTATGCGAAAGAGTTGAGAAAAGCACTCAAACCGCCCTACAATTTTGCAGGGACTTGCCGAAGCAAACTTATCGAAACATACGGATAAACACAAGAGATGAGATTAGATATGAAAACTCTGATGCACATGCACATGTGAGTTGGCTGACCTGCTAGTAACCGAGTGACCCAACAAGCGGAACAGTTTTGGCCTCGCTTTCCCTTTTCAATTTTGCATGTATCCTTTATTCTACTTCCCCATTTTGACGTCGTTTTATTTATTTAGGGTGTTGTTTGGTTCAACATCTATATATCTATATATCTCGTATATATAATTGCAGAATGTGCTGACCATAAGTGGCATAATCTCATACTTCAGAATACTATGTGGCAAATTTTCAAGCTCTGTCATGTGGCTTAGATGAATTTTAACTTACTCTATATTAAAAAATAATTAGATTTGTAATAGTCATAAATGTACTAGATATTTATTGTCATTTTTAACAGTATTAAATTATTAATATGACATTTTCTATTCTAGAAGTAATTTACTATGCATGATTTTTTTTTTTCTCAATCTTTCTTTTTTCTTCATCTTCTTCTAAACTTATGAAAAATTACTAACTTAAATTATAAGTAGATTGAAAAGTTAATAATTTTTTATTCACTATTAATTTGTATATATAATATATCAAATTAATCATGTCTTGACGAGATTTTGACATTTATATTGTACATAGAGAATAAATAAATAATTATACTTATCTTTATTAAAAAATTACCTATTAATATGAATTAGAAAATATAATTATTTAAATCAATTTAGCTACAAAGTTGATAATGATATAATTAAAAACATATTATAATATAAGATGGTAAACCATTCAAGTGACCTCTGTTATTTTAAATATAAATAGTAATATAGTTATTCAAAAAATAATTAAAAATTCAAACTATTTTTTTTATTATTATTTTTAGTTTTAAATATAAATTTCTTAACATACACCCGTGTAATACATATAATTACTGGCTAATAACATTTAAGAAAACCTATAAAGTTATATCTAGATGGCACTACACACATTTTTCCCCCAAAATCGGTTACAAATGAATTATTTATCCTGCTTTAATTAGCTTTTGATAATCAGAACACTAAGGAATCTGTCTTGAGAGCCTTTAAATGTTGTATATGTGTAAATTTTTAGAATGTTGTTTCAGTTTTAGTTGATGACATGATATGCATTTAAATGTAATTGTTGTCAAAAATAGAACATGAATTACTAATTGCTAAAATTTATAATTACTCAATACAAAAAATTAAATTACATATCAAATTAACATCCAGTAAACACAATAAAAAAGAAAAATTTAACATTCCAGCGCCTTTATTGTAAATTATGCCTGTAATATAGAAAAAGAAAAAACATTAATAATTATAAAACTTATAATATCGACTAATTTACATTACATAATAAAAAATGAACAGTTTAGCCCTATCCAAGGAACATAATATCACATAAAATCAGGAAATATATATACAACATAATTATGAAATTAAAGCAGTCAATGTCAAATCAGGAGGAAAAAGAATCAAATTATACAAATAATAAAAAGGCAGATTCTCATTCATTTTTTAGGGAAGAATACACACAGTAAACAATGAGGTTCAATTTTGGTGAGCATCAATCATGGAATTTGATGTAATTATATATTTTTTACTGGAGAATACACACAGTAATACACACATTAATCATGAATATCATGTAATTAAATAATTTTGACTGAATAATACACACAACAATTTTCCAGCATCAATCATGAATTAATACACACACATTTTTCGCCCCTATAAATACAGTAAAATTTATCAAATTATAATCACCTTCATTTCAGAAATACACTCTCAAAAATACTCTCTAAACATATAATCACTATTTTTTTCTATATAATCCATTTTATCCCTTCTTCATTCTGTGTTTCCCTAAACATACATCCTATTGTTCTACACATTAGTCTAATATTGCTAACAACATTCTGTTTTATTCATTCTACCACCATATTCATTTTATTTTTTTTACCCAAACCACAATATCATGAAGAGGTTGACCGACTACAACTTAATTGGAAACAAACGTCAAAAGGATGATGTTTCTCCACCATATGGTACACAATGAGATGGTGTCCTATGTCTTATATCAAATTTGTTCAGAAGTGTTATCTTTTTTTGCTCTAACCGTGTTTTCCAAATTTGTATGCGTTTGCTTCTCGCATTAAGCCCAAATGAATTACTCTCGTTCTTACTGATTATTTTATCTGCAAATCCAAAATGACAAATGTTAGAATATATCATATTTCATTAAAGATATGAAAAATCTTGCAATGTATAAGCTAAAAGACACTTATCTGTTCTGTTTGTAATCTGGACGCGTCTTCTTCATTTGTTTATACCTGCAAATGATTTGAAGAACTATTAGAACAACTTTTGTACCTGCAAACTATTTGTCATTACATTCATATAAACACTATTATACAAATGAGTATACTTATTAGTATTTAAAATACAAGATTGTCAAGGAACTTAGATATTACCTTTATTTCTTTTCTGCGGTTTGAAACTGAGTAACATAACTTTAAATCTTATTAAAAATTTAAACATAAAACTAAAAATTTTAAATAAAACGGTGAGTTGATATTCAAAACATATTGATATGAGTGTGAAAAACTAAATTTTCGANAAAAAAAAAAAAAAAAATTAACTCGGTATCAGTCACCGATATCACATTCAAAGGAAACAACAAGATTGGAAATCAATTGAATCCCCAAAAATAAAATAGAAAAATTTAATCATAGCTAAATTAGTTTCCGACTGTGATTTATTATAATAAAAGGGCTTATTTGACCTCTTAAGATCACGATACGGGTGGTACCCGTCCGTCGGAAGCTACCCTAACGGGAATTTCATAATATAAAGTTTAAAAATTAAATAAATCCAAAAAAACAACAGATCTATTGTCTCATTACGATTTTAATCGAAGAAAAATGTTTAAAATTTTTAAACAATTT